GTATAAAGAGATTACACTCTTTCTTAATGACACAAGTCCTATGAACTACCAGAAAAATCAAAAGTAAGCAACTGTCTGAGAGGATTGCTTATTGCTGGAGTGAAAGACCTAGAACACTGTGTGACGGCATCTTAGGTAAGTCTGTAGATAGCAAGTCCAGGAGAAAAACATAGATCCTTTTTTTAATTAATTGCTTATGAATCATCTTAACCAAGAGTATTTCTTAAATGGATGCCTGATGTTTGCAACATATACATCACTCATCCTATAACCTTCCCCTTTCTCTTTTCTGAAAATGCAGGTTTAAAACCTGATCCTGCTTACAGGGCAGCTGGAAATTATGGAGAACAGTATGGAAATTATGGAGAACTGTGTCAACTCAGCAGCTGCAAGAGACACCTCATCAATGTATAGAAATACTCGAGAGGAGGGTGCAAAGAGGATGGAACCAGGCTGTTTTCCGTGATGCCCAGTTACAGGAAAAGAGGCAACCAGCACACGCCAAAACACAGGAGAGTCCTCCTGAAAGGTTTTTTACTGCGAGCATTACTGAGCACTGGCACAGGCTGCCCAGGGAGGTTGAGGAGTCTCCCTCCTTGGGGATACTTAAAAGCCATCTGGACATACTCCTGAGTAACTGGCTCCAGGTGGCCCAGCTTGAGCAGAGGTGTTATTGGACCAGATGACCTCTGGAGGTCCCTTCCAGCCTCAACCACTCTGCAATCAGTGCTCTAGACCACATTCAATTAGTGCCTTCCCACAATGTGCTAAGGAACTTGGCACACTGCCAAGTACCATTACCACAGCAGGGAGGTGAAGACCAGCCTGTTTCTAAGCTGCTCGAGGGGTTGTCTCACTCTCTAGAATTGCTTTAAACAATTATCCCTTCCTTCATTGCTCCAGTTGATAGTTTTATCATGCAAGGTCAAGTGACAAAATTGCAAAACCCAAGCCCCACAGACCTACCTACAGATCTGAAAAGCCTATGCAGGTGTTTCCTTAGGAACTGCCTTGTGACAGGGAGTCCACTTCCTAGTTATTCCAAGTATCCACACTCTGATTCTTATCCTTGCCCTAAATCCTGGCAGTAGCAATAGGATGCTGCAGCAGTAATAACTTTCTTCTACAAACCCCTAATATAATACACACAATGGGACATGCTTTGGCAAGAGACAAGCACCTTTCCCTTTGCTCTTCCAATTCATTTACTGATTTGAGCCCTACATGTGTTTTAAAATGTTAAATCTAGTCCCAACCAAGTTTGAGAAAGTAACAAAGTCAAAGGTGCCTAACTGTGACCATTCTTTAAAGTTGCATCTTGTTACATAAACCATTGAATTTCTTTTTCTAAAAGTTTGCCCCTTCTATAATGACAGCACACAAAGTGCAACTCACTGCATTTTTCAAAAATCTATTAATAAAATCTGCAAACCCCAAAAATGTGGCATAAAGTCTTTTATAGGAAAAAAACCCAACAGACTGCCCTGCAAGCTTTAGCTCTGATAATAAAACAGAATTAATTTTCCAAGCACTCCTCCTAACCCCTGCCTGAGCACCTCAGAGACCACTACAAAAATTTAATATCCTACTACGCTTTGCCACTTAAAATTATGTCAGAGCCAAATAAGACTCAGAGAAATTCAGGAGCCTGAGAAGACAGTTTTTCTTCACAGCAAGAGCACAATCCCCTCTCAGTTACAATCACCATGACTGGCATAAGACACAACACTTAGCTATGGCTCAACAAGCTGCAGGAGGAAGGTGAGCTGCCTAACAGAAAAACTGCATTAACAACAAAGGCAGAGAAACACTGAAGAGCTGTAAACAGTAAGCAGGAGGATCACAGGGCAGCCACAAGGAAAGCCGAGCGGTAATTCAGTGCCTGGAAACAGCAAGAAGATAGGCAAAATACCCAACAACAAACCACATAACAGGGGCAAGAAAGATTTCACCAGCAGTTTCCCCTGTAAGACAAGAACAAAAAGCAGGGTGGGTTTTAAAGTTGACTTAATCCAAATTCCACAAAAGCACATACACGTCTGTGAAAGGCTACTTTGTCACAAAGTCCCCAAAAAGAATGCAGGGACTTAGCATTTGCATTTTGGGTTTGGGACTGACACAATTGAGAGCACAGGTTGGAGTCCTCCAGCCTTTTAACAGTGGCACGGAGCAACGTTGCGGCAATCATCTCCTTGTGGCCCTCCAAAGAGGTCTCTGCCTAATAAGCTCGAGAGATTTCGCTGTGGGTGGAGGAGGAGATAGCTTTGGGGCAATGCCAACTCCTAAACCCTGGGAGAGACAGAGGTTGCCAAATGCCCCTCTGAAGCAGAGCTGTCAAATCATGTCTGCATAAATACTTTTGAACTCATTCATACCTATATCCAAATCAACCTGCTAGACTGCCTCCCAACTTGCAGCTTCAGTCCAGGCTTCCAGGAGGTGCTCAGACATCATGAAGAAAAGCAGCAAACACTTGCACAAAAATAAAATGTACTGTCTGCACCGCTCGCATCCCATTTAAGACTTAATTTCTCTTTGTCAGAGCTATCACAAAACCCCATGCAGTAAATGACAAGCCAACTCCGAAGCACTGCACCTAGTAAAAATTTAATATAATAAAACAAATTGAAAACGGCAACATTATTTTAACCATTCACAATTAAAGTGGAAAAATTATAAGGCAGCCATTCATGGAATGATTTTGTGTACAAATGGTTTGGAAAAAAGACATTAAAATTACAGTTCCATACATGGAGTCAGGTAAACAGCAATGACCACGCAATGTTTTTCCCTGGAAAGCCAAGGCTGCTGAGAGATATAAGAACAGTAAGAAAAAAGCACTATTTTTTAAAAGAAGTTTGATGTGAACAGGAATCTGAAATTCATCACAAAGAATCTGAAATTCATCATAAACTTTCCCACCAATCTGCAATCACTTCTCCTCCTCCCTCCACCCCCAAAAAAATATACAAGTACGCTTCCCTCCTCTTCTTCCCAAGTCCCAGCACAGAACAGGAAAGGAGCAGCAGGAACATTTATTCCACAGCATCTCTCTTATTCTGCATTTAGCTGATGAGACACAGACACATCTGCTACTGTCAAAAGCTCCTTGAAGGCTCTGAACTAGCTCCTGAATAAACATAGTAGTTTTCCTGGGCCTCTTGGATAATATTAACCTTTTACACAATCCACCTGGAAACAGTGGGTTTCTGTGTTTTAACACCCAGCTATCTGACAAGCCGCAAAAATCAAAAAGTCCTGTCTAGGTGTGACAGCTCTGCCATCCTCACTTAAATTAACATCAGTACAGCTTCTGCATCTGTCATCGAGTGCTGGAAAAGAAGTATTTCCCTTCTTTATATAAGGAATAATAAAAGCATTAGAACAGTAGGGAAAGTACTTGAACACACTAGGATCAACAGAAATAGCTTTAGTCCAATTCCTATTGCCAATTAAGAAATCATTAACTGAAAAAATCAGGTGATGACAAGATTATGGATTTCCTGGAGGGATTTACAGAAGGAAAGGGTGACATGGCTGGCATTGGTTTAAACATTACCTGCTAGACCTGCTGCCATCTACCTCACAGAAGAAAAAACAGGCAGAGATGGCTATTACAGAGAGAGTAAGAGGAATTTGTTTGTATCAAGGTCTCCTGAGGAGTAGAAAATGACACCAGATGGCCCTCACTACACTCAATGCTTGGATTTACTGTGACAGATGGGGAGATAGGTAAAAAAAGGTTATAATAAAATGGGCCATTTCATTTAACTCATTAAAATACTCTGCTTCAAGAAAATAATCCTCTATCTGGTACTAACAATTTGGAAAGGTTTGATAATTCAAAATTTTACATTCTCCTTATTACATAACCAAAAGTTTCTTTAGTCACTGCAGTTTCAGTTACAAAATTTAAAATAATAATTCCACACAGAGATAACAGAGGCAGCCAAAACAAAATGCTGTTGCCATTTCTAAATAAGAAAAAAAATTAAAACCACAGAAGTCTTCTATCACTTAAGTGCCACAATGAAAAGCATGTTATCAAAATTTTTGTGCCAATTTTGTCAATGTGTTCATTCAAAATCCCTCACCTGCTGCTATAACTTGGACTGTATACTTCATGAATCATTAAACTGAGTATTACTATTTCTGATGCTTGCTCCAGAAACTGGAAACATGATCTGAAGGACAGGAAAACAGAAAGATGACAAGATCTTTTAACAGTGGCACCTATGATTAATATGCCAGAGGTTATATTAGCAGTGAAATCACATCCTGGTCAATACACACTGATCCTTAAAAGAAGGTACTATCCACATGCTCTAACACTGAAACAAAAGGCACAGAATGGGACCTTAGTTATATACCTCCCTAAACCATTGCTATTGTTATACACAAAATGAGGCTGAAGTGGAATGCAGTCGGGATGCCCCCTTAACTCCCAGGGCAGGGTGCACATACAAGTGACAGATAAGAGCTTAAAGAATAAAAACTTACTGCTTTACTAAACATCAGCACCTAGTGCTGCACTAAGCTATCTCCTGCTTCTGTTACTGCTCTTGCAAACCCTCCAGGTTTGGAAACACTTATATGGAAAAATTAAGCAAGGTAAAATACTGAGATTATCAAGGAAGAAATTAACCAGTGAGAAATCAGGAAGGACACTGGGACCTCTGGTGTAAACATCCCTGTGTATCATTTGCACATGCTAGAAACCTGTTTCACTGAACTTTTTTAACCAGTAACTTACTAGTTGCATATATATGTTGTAAAAAACCAAACAACACCATTTAAGAATGCACAGGAGAGGATCTCATCCACGTCATTAATTTTGCAGTGGCTTTTCAGAACACAGTATTGAAGGTCTAATGTAAAAAATGCTTGTTTAGGCCTGAAACACCAATTCTACCTGAAAATACTGTCTCATGGGGAAAAATGATTTTTAATAATTTTGCATGGATTTTATGTAGTAAAACACACAAATAAAAAAGCTGTCCTGGGAATCAATACTAGGTTCAATCCTGGGATACATCCGTATTGTTAGAAAGCCAACAGACAAAGCAACCAGTAGTCCAAGAGCCAGGCCATACCCATTACTGAACTAACAGACAAACAGAACAATGACAAAAATGTGAAGAAGTTATGAGGCACAATGGGCTGTGTAGTATAAGTAATAAATGGCATCAGAACCAGACACTCATTCAAATGGAAACAAGAAGCACTTCAGTTAAGAAGATATTTCAAGCCTTGACAATTCATTTCAAACAAAAAAACAATCAAAAAGAAAAATACATTTGGCAATGTTATCTTTAAAAAGTGCAGACAAAGTACAGTTTAAAACAGGTATGGCATTAAAAAGTTTTCCCCTAAAGAAAGAATGTTATGTTGATTCTGTACATGTCAAGAATTCCTGACTTTTCAATGCACTACAGTTATTAAGAGTATAATATATTCCGCATAAGAAAAATGGTGCCTGACAAGACAAAGCTGTGCCTGGGAAATGGAGGGCTCTTTTACCACTCCTCTGCAGTGAGGGACATCAGGAATTGGCAATAAGTCCTTCAGTAGATTCACTAAAACTAATGCTTCTCAGTAAGAGGCGAATGAACAATTCCCAAAGGAAGAAGAAAATGTCTAACAAGTCCACTGGAACCCACCAGTTTGGTTTTTTGTTTGTTGGGGTTTTTTTGTTCAGAACTGCTTTAGAAACACTTTGTACTCTATCTGCAGCATAAATATTTAACTAAACATCTAGTTTCATTATCCTTTATACCTTTTATTTAGTGAAAAACTCACACAGCCCTCCACTGATTTCAGCAGTTTGGACTTTTGAAAATGAGCTAGTAAAGTTCTCTGGTCCCTTAACTGCTGTATCCATCAGATTTCTACTCCCCAGAGCCCAGAACAGCTCTATTTCAAAGGGCACTATGGGTATTTCTCTCAATAGAAGCAGTAGTGTAATCATAGTACCCAAGATGTAATTCCTGCTAACATTTTTGGTGCTTAACACATGACTGACTTGGAAGAAGACCATCTCCCAAGAAACAGTGCCTTTTTAGAATTTATTAACCATTGCATAAACAATCAAAACACTGTTCTCCTTGCTTCTATCCTTTGTCTTAAATAATGGAATACACTGCAAAATTCATTTGCACTTTCTTAACTGGCTGATTCTTAGTCTAATCCTACACTTTGTCTACATAATTTCTTTCCTATCAAGTGACACTTCTGTGACAATAGCAGTGTTATCCAGAGTTCCAAGTGTAGCCCATTGCTGCAATACAATTAGTGATGAACAACACAAGGACCAGTTATGTCGCCAGGACAGCGTAGAACCAATAGAGCAGAGCCCCCTTCTTCATCAGTAAGACTTCAATCTTTCATAATGCAGCAATCCGTGAGTTTTGCCCTCAGCTGTGAAAGTTGAACTGCAGGATACTTTGGTGATTGCAATTTCGTGATGAGTCGCTATGTTCTTCCCTGCTTACCTTCCTTAAACTTCAAATTCCATCTTCCCTGAGAATAGGGCCAGAAGTAGCAATTAAAATAGCAAATGTCTTCAGAAGAGAAAGTTACATAGAATTTATGTGAGGCTGCCAAAGTACATTTTGCTACACTAAAAACTTTCCTAGTATTCCTCATTTTGCAATCAAGATTCCCTCTGAACTCCATACAGTGCATGGGATGGATGATGGGTAAGAGACAATGGTAAAGGGAGCAGCCGACATTTTACTGCTCATGTCAGATCGAGGAGAAGAACAGTGAAATCTGAGCATTTAGTGATGGTGTCCAATAGACAAAACTAGAGGAATAAGGCATCCTAATACTAGGGCTGCCACCTCCAGACGACTGAGTCCTTTTCCTCCAGTTGTTTCAGGTTTGTGGCTATGAGCAATTCCTCCTACTTCTGGAAGGACATGAACTGTAGCAACGTAAAGAAAAGTCCCAGCAGAAAACAGCATAGCAACTCCAGTGGCATTGACTTCTGAAAGAGCTTCTTTGCTACTCTGAAACACAAAGAGCAAAAGTGAGGATAAGTGGAAGTTCTTCAATGAGTAACAAAAAAAAAAATTCTGTAAGTGTCCAGACACAACAGGATTTCTATGAACTCTCTTCTCTCGCAATGACAATGGTTTAGCATGTTCTTTTGTGTCTTGCACCTTACATGTAGTAACAGGCACTCTAAAGTTGTGGGGGGCAGAAAGACACTCCTCATCCAAGTTGCTTCACTTTGGACTTCTTGCAAAAGAAAAAAGTCACAGTCTGTGCAGAAGCATCTTGTTTGACCATCTCACAACATATAAAACATGTTTCGAAAAAAATAAAGTTGATATTGCAAAGCCAAAAATTTTAGGAAGAATATTCAAGATTGACTTTTTTTTCCCCCTTTTTTCTAAACAAAGGGTTCAAATAAGATGTTAGCCTTTAAATATCTGGTGTTCAGAGCCAAGTCCCAAATCATCACTCATTCAATATTTCATTTGTATGTAGAAGGAAACCCCCAAAACTTTTCCAGAATTTCCATGCAAACTTCATGAAGAAATGCAACTTCTGGATCAAAACTGAGCACCTCTTCACATTCATACTAGGATTAAGATCATGCTACACATCAGTAAATGTAATGAAATGCAAACCCACTCATATCAGATTCACATGCTTCTTGAACACTTTTCAGCTCAGGTGTGATCTTAGTTCTCTGGTATATTCTTGGGTCATTTTTTCAAAGAGCAAAGATACATCTTCATCTGGAACTATAAAACTCCTGTGACAGCCCTGATGCCTTATCAAATCTCTGTTCTTTCTGAAGTGCAAAATGCAAACAACTCTTGATGAGCATGCTTCAAAAGAATGCTCAAACAGAATTCTTATTTCCATTTACAAACCCAACCCTTTTTTCTGTTGCCTCTTGCACTGTAACGTCAAATATAATTCCTCTCTGGCAAGTAAAGGGATTAGCCCGGATAATTTATTTAATCTTTCCTCTCATGCCTTGGGTTTTGTGAGATCACGTTATACTCTTTACAACACATCCCCACAGTGTGTCACCAGCATGACCCACAGCAATTTGGAAATACAGGACTGTCAAAAGATATGCTATAAGAAGCAGAAACATTTAATGAGGACAGAGATGATAACCCACGTGCAGTGGCTCATTTCACAGGCCATTTGTTGTATAGACTCAAGACAAGACTATGCTTTAAGGAGTAAGAGAGGCAAAAAGGCTGTTCTAGCTGAGGATTCAACTTCTGACACAGACTTTGAACACAGAAGACCACTTCTGGGATGGTAGGGGAAACTAGCAAAGATTATTTTCTACCTGCACATTAAAAGAAGAATGCATGCAACAATGCTGAAAATTACATAGTTAAGTAGGCATCTGGTAAAGCCTGGTATATGAGTAAGTTGTTCTCAGTGGGGAGCAGCAGAAAGTAGAAAAGACAGATATCAGACTTTTAAAAAAGCTATACAAAACTCTGTAAAGGTGTTATGTCACTGATTCTGATGGAAAGCATGGGTTATTTGTTTTGTGCATTCATGCTGCATTCATCAACTTTTTTTAAAATCTCCATTCTGCTAAACTTTTCAAGCAGTTTGGAATTTTGTTATATGAAAATCATGATATTCCTTTCCCCAAACTCCAGCACTAAGCTAGATTTTGGGCAGAATAAGATCACAGACCTACCTTGCTTAGCCCTAGGTATGTCACCATCGACATAACAGGTGCTGCCAATGCAAAGACCAGCAAGTGTTTTCTAATTCGATTCCGTTCTAGCCCCGCATGCATCAGGAAGGAAACCAGGCCAAAGGCAGCTGGTGCCTGCAAAAAAACAATACATGCTGGTAATACAATACTTTCTAAAACCCCCTGAAATATGAGAAAAAGTTGAAATACAACTTACTATGAAATGTACTGAATTGGAAGAAATTCAGGATGAGCACTAGTATGTTGCAGCTAACCCAAACCAACAGTCAGTTCTGCAGACCGCCCCATCTTAATAACTGTACCTAATGGAAACTCACACTCTGGCTCTCAGAAAACATATACCTGTGTAGTCATTATAAATATTAAAATGTTCATTCTGATTTGAGTCATTGCTATAATCTCCAAGTTTACATTAATTTAGGTAATTTCTTTTCTTGTTACTACTACACATCCTTAGATAGAGTTTCTTTATCTACAGCAGAAAAATTCTAAAATTAACACAAGGAGGGAAAAAATTGCCCAAAGACAGGTAACTGTCAGCCTCCATGTTAACAAAGACTTAAGAGATCTTTTGATTAGTTCATCATTCAGTTTCATTCCTGTTCCCACCAGGTAGCAAACAAATAATCCCTTCTCTCTCTGCTGGCATCCAGTTTCTTATCCAAAAGGCATAGCTCATACTCACGAAATTTACTATATGTTTGCTTGCATGAAGACAATAGCAATACACCCTGACATTTTTTATGCAGGACGCTAAAATGCATTGAGTATTTTTATATGTAATTTTTTTTTAAAACATAGAAGATGGAAACCATGAGCAAAAGAAAAAAGATGAGAAAGACAAAAGCATCAATCAGGATAAGAGCAGGAAAAAGACACCAGAGAAGAAATACATTTCCCTTCCAATACCAAATATTTCATAGGAGTAATTTTCCTCTTCTAAATTTGTACAATTTCAGAAGTCAGTTAATTTGAACATTAAGAATAACAAAAGTTTCAATTAGCAACAGCCATAAATTAAGCTTCACACAAGATGCGACGTTGACATCGCCACCTCAGAAGAGGGTTACATAAGCCACAGTTTCTTGTATGAACATTGAAGAAAAGACATACTGGATGTGGGTTCTCTAACATTTTGAACATGTAATTATACAAGCAAGTTATTCAATAATGTATGAGTAACTACTGTAATCCATGCATGTGTTACCATAAGGCAAATAGGCATCTGCCCGTGTATATTTAGAGCCTATACATTTGCACAAGTATTAAGGAAAGATCTTCCCATCTTCAAGAGCTATTGTTTGCTTGTTACCAGCAGAAACATATTTAATTTTTTTTCCTGCAGTCATGGTATACGACTGATGTTGAAACGACTACAATAACAGAGGTAACTAGAAGTTGTAACTTAGTACACTGATATTGAGTGGTTTCAAAAGACTAACCCTTTAAACACTAAAACGCTTCAAAACAAATATCCTTTCCATTTTCTTAAGAACTTGTCAAAAGGCTTGTAATCAGCATAAAACTGCTTTTCCTCCTTTAATGCCCTAGCATATATTCTGTGCTTCACTTCTCTGGATACATCTCTTACAGCAGTAGGAATCTATAGGGCTTTTGTTTGTTAAAACAACCAAACACTACCACACTAGCTTCTGAAGAAGTGTGAAGCTGACATTTCTTCACGAGCTATTATTCTCTCCTTACTTTTGGGAGACTTTGGGAGACTCGTCCCAACCACTGCAACCAAGGTAGGCAGTAGGCGGTCAGATTTCTCTTTCATTTGTACCCCATTCAGACTTAGCATCAATCATTTGTTTTTCCGTCATACATCATACCAGTGCTTTTTGGTCCCTGAAACTGTACTATTAACCTGTTTATTTCAATGGCATTAAACATTTCTGTATTACATCACTGAGGAAACTCTAGATCTTTAGCAATTCCTCTGTGCTTTAGTAGCCTTTTGAAGAGCAAGTAAGATTTTTTTGGATGATGACTTACCTTGTGCAACATAATTGCAACAAACACTATCAACTGGACACTAGTCTGAGAAGTAGAAGCTGCTGCACCCAATGCAACACCATCAGCTGAAAAAGGAGTGCAAATTCATGGATTATTCCTCCACATGAGCTTCCCCACCCCCTCAACGGCTGACAGTAAAAACCATGTTGATTTCAGAAGTTCTGTTATTCAAAATGCCATTAACAACAGCAACCCAACACTTGCCTTTGTTTGTTAAGCCACAAGATTTCAGAATATCAGACAACCCTCAACAGGAGCTGTCTTATATTTCCCAAGATCATGAAAACCATACTGAGAATCTACTCAGTATTGATACATCCTTTCAAATTAGAACTAGGTAACAAGTTTAGTTGTTTTAGTCTCTGTAGTAAAACAAGCTTCCTGTCTAAATAAAAAAAAATCTGTTTTATTATTACCCTCTAAATGATTTTTCAAATATAACTATTGTAAATAATAATTTTTTATCATTTAACATAAATATATTGTCTAAATGAAACAGAAAATGGATACAATATTATTCCTTAATATATAGACACTTTGTTTAGTGAAGAAGTATCTTTTTGATCAACATCTGACTTCTCTAGACAGCAACCCTCAGCAGAAGATTAAAAAGCATCATATTTATACTACAAATCAATCAAGAATTACAATGATCTAATTATTTCTGCATGGGTTGACTGCAACACATGCACAGTTCGTCCTTGCAAGTCAGACTGTGTTTCAGTTAAATCTTTGTGCTCCACCTTATGTCTTTTTTTCTACAAGATACTATTTTTTAAATTAGTATTTTTAAAAAAAACCACAGGTGAACCAACAAGCAAACCCAAAGGTGTTTCATACTATTTATCAAATGTGTTAGCACGTACTGAAATTCAGCAGCTAGAGGAGCCAGCAAAGGAACTGAAGAGGCAGAGAATGAGCATCACACAACCTTTCAAATGGGAAAAATAAAAGATTGAAAATACCGTACCCAAATAAAACTCTGTAGAACATCTGAGAACAGGTATTTTCCCAGTTAATTCTGGGAATATCCTTAGTTCTCTCTGCTCTGCCTTTTTTTTTTTTTAATAAAAAGTGACCTTCAAATGCAAAACCCAAGTGTGTCCATCACATCCAAAGATGACCCACACAGCAATGGATGTCATTGTCAAGCACTAACAATAGATCCCACGTTACCTGCAGCATGGACTACTAGTCCCAGTGTTGTGGTGATCTTGGAGTTGCCTGATCTTGCAGCTTCTGGATCTGAAACAATCATGAGAAAAGTTAATATAAAGGGATCAAATACATAAATTATGCTGGAAGAAAATTAAGTATCACTGCACATGTCTCTACCGGCTGCTTAGGCAGTTACATTAAAAACTACCAAATTCTGTATTTCTGCAATAGATTTACCGTAAAATAGTTTGATACTTAACACCTTCAAATCAGCTGAAGTTCTGCCAACAAACAAGTGACAGACTCATAAACAATTCTTTGCAATTTATAGGATCACTGACATAGGCAGAAGCAGATGTTTCTCTTAATCTCCTGAAACTAAATGTTAAAGGTCTGTGCTACCAAGAGAAAGAAAAGCTTGCATCCCAAAAATCCACAGCTGCTTCAAGAGTCGGGATGATTTTTCCCAACATAGCTCAATGTTGGCAGTTTCCTTCAGGTGACCGACTGGGGCAGTTTCTATTAAACTGATTCTCTGGCAGTTTCTAGTAAGCAGAAACTGTCATGGCAGCAGTTGCAAAGATTACCCTCCAGTATTATACACCACAGAGCAGAAATGCAGCCAGTGCAGTTTGAGATCCAGCGTTTTGCCCAGAATTGTCTGAGGACATTGGCAAGTTAGCTCATTACGCAGCACAACAGGACAATATCCACCACTACACAGTAAGTGGTGAAACTGTTACAAAGAATCACTGCAATGAACAGAGCGGGTAAGTCTTACACAAGTATAGATATATCTTACTATTCAACTGTTTAATTCCAGATGGTTGAACAGCCATTATGGAATTATACTAGTGGTCAATAAGATGACTGAAAGCACACTTACACAGCTGCTTTACTACGTCTGCACTGCTGTCAAAACAGAAATTGTATTTCTGTTCCTTTTCTCCTGCCTGTCCTCTCACCCTCCAGTCTCTCTTCCTGCCCAGGCACCCATAAAGTTGCCCAGTGAGTCGTGAACTGGCTAAAAAATTTTGCATTCTCTCTGGCCAACTTGATCTTTTGAATCAAGGAGAGCCTGTATGAGAAATTAATTCCATAAACTGCACTTGGCTGACAGCAATGGTATACTCATGTCAAACATGAGGAGATACTCACTAAGAACATTTCCTTTAAATTTGTTTTGGATTGACCAATACTAAACACACTCAAAGAGAGCCACATTTTACATCATACCTCCATTCTGGCCTACAGAATTTTTCTAGTTTAGACAAAGTAATATCTAGCCACTTGGGAGATAACAAAACTGCAAGACATTGCTTCAAGAGAAAAGTGTTTTTCTCCAGCAGCTTTAAAAAACATTACAAAAACACTACTTCATTTCCAGTGACAGAGGTACAGGCTAGATAAAACTTTACTTAATATCCTATTTTATACTGTGTATATCTAACACAGACACAGTCAGTTTTCTTCTGGTATTTGCTATGATCAGAAACATAGAAAAGGATTATAACCTGTACAAACCAAGGATTCTTCTGACAGTTGCTCAACTGCATCTTCCTGACATCCTTACTGCCCTTGTTTCCTTTTAAAAGCTTTGAAAATCAGCTAGCCATGGCTGTGGCTCCATTTACACTTCTTCAGGAGCACAAGGGTGACACAGCCCCTGCACTGGCCTTCCATCTGTCCTACCACATTAATCCCATACAAGCATTTGCACAGCTGCACTGTGAACTGCCAAGAATCCCACCAAAACATATCCCCCCTTCCTTTGTGTGTTTTACTTCTCCTTTAAGATCAATTCCTTAATTTTTGAGGGCCAAATTCCACCATTAGAGGCAATTATGGGGGAGAAAATGAGCAGCTAAAGGCAATAAAATACCTTCTCAAATGACAGAACACCTTTAGTGTATTTCAAGTGACAGTCTGAGTATTAAGCCTCAGGCAGTAAACAAAGGCAACTGTAGTCTTGCAAGAAGTTGACAAACCTTTAGACAAAGCAGGAGATATGCTTTGTGAAGCTCTAGACTAGTGTGGGAGGTCCAGCTGTGCAGTTCCAGTAAAGGACCAGAGCTTACCTCTAATCATTTCTGCATTCTTACTTAAGATAACTTGTTCTTTGCAAAGTTCACCTATATGTATGACAATTATGTGGGAAAAAACAAATGAATATAAGACTAACCTGAAGTTTTTTGGAAAGCCAAAGAAATCTCCTATGGGTGATACTGTAAAACAGACAATAACTCAAGTGTCAAGTTACCCTTCACCCCCACACCATATGTGCTCATACTGTTATTTCATGTTAGAGAAGCAAGCTCTCAAACTATGCTGAATTTCAGGATATAGTTTCAGCATAAACATTTCACATGGACCCTGATTTATGTTTGTAAAGCACCTACTGAAACACTCTGGACAAATTAAATCTGGTAGCAGTCAAAAAAAAAAAAAAATCGCAACATGGTAATTAAAATGAATTAACAAATCTCATTCAATCTTATTGAATCTTTACTCACCATCTGTAGAGTGCACATGAGAGCTGCCTATCTGATCCACCAATAGCATGAAGACAAAGCCGAGGACAAGGGATACACCGATGTAGGCATGCAACCTGGAATGGTCATGGCCATGCTCAGGTACAACCGCGACTTTTGCTACATTCTCAGACTCAATCACTCGCTGCATCTCGCTTGCCGGGTGATGCTTCCCTGTGACAGGCAAGCAAATAGATTAGGAGATGGGACTAAACATGACACAGCCACCTTTTTCCTCCTTTGCTGAAAGCCTTCCTCACACTTTCTTGGACAACACACAGAAGCCCTTATTTAAGGTCCTTCTTACACGATCTTTTTCGGGAAGGCTGGTTGGTCTCTCCTCATACATCTTCAGCATGGAAAAGCAAGTAAAGCATTAACACATGATAAGCCAGGCTACTTTGTTTAAATGCTGCACTTTAAATACAAATTAATTGATAAAAATTGCTGTATAATTCCCTTTATAATTGAAGTTGCCAATTTTGTCAATATTCAGTGATACTCTCAAGGAGTTACTTAATAATCTTCATTTAAGTGAGAAAACAAAAGATGAGATAAAATAGGTTGCATCCACTAAAAGACTGAATACAATCTTTACGCAGATTAACTGATACTTCGAGACATAAGTTAGTATTGATACACTCCATTGATACGAACTAAAACAACAGTTAAGTCAAGCAAACCAACCTACAAATGTCAGTACCATCCTAAAAACCCAAAGTCCAAGCCCTGGGGTTGAATGTTGTCTGGTTGTTTCCTTTCCCCACACAAGCTATTCAAGTTTGTCCATGCCCTCCCCAAGACATTTACTTCACCTCACTGAGCTACCCTGAAATCAGATGAGCTCCAAATGACTCTAAAGTCTAAGAATGGAAAACATGATGTCTCAACAGATTTTTAATTACGTTTCTGTGTAGAAAATGCTTTATTTGATGCACAGTTCATAATTTTAAAATGTTTTCAAATATTTCATAGATTAGTAACAGAGACAAATGTCTCCACCTGCAATGACTTTTAAAAAGCAGAGATGTAATATTATAACTTTACCAACTTTTACAGACTGCCATTTACCCAGCATATGTGATCTTTATCACAAGCAAATACCACACAAAATTCCCACCAATTTCAACATAAATTGCATCACTCACTCTGAATTTACACAGGCTTGAAAGAGAAAGTTTTTCCAGCACACGCACTTAACATTTCTAGTAGTCTTTGGCCTAGAAGCTCCCAAGACAGATGCACAAGATCCTCCAACCTTGCTTATGACCATAGGAAACATCTGCTTCTGCAATCCCATCTGACACAGTGGGAGATGTCCAGAAGTACATAGCTTCTTCAGTATTGGTCAGCAAAGATTGGTAAGAGTTGCCTTAATACATTTATGTGAAAGAGATTTAATACAGCTATTTTTTAGCAAAATTTTAAGTATTGTTTCCAGCTGATACAAGTGAATAATCATGGCAAAGCCTTCTTCTCCCAACTGCATGCAGAAATACACTGTTAAAAAGGTACAACCAAAGACCAGGAATAGAAAATTTTGAATTAAGTTCTCAACTACCATATAGAGCACAGTAATATTTGACCTCTTGGATTCAGACACTGCTCATATGAACCACATATTCTTTTCCTTTTTTTGTATTTCCCCTTATGGCCCCTGGTAGAGATAGGACATCAGGCTAGAAAACCCCTTGAGTGATACAGAAGAGGCATTTAATGTTCCTTGGCAATCTTGTTATTATACATAGTTGTACTTCCACAGCAGGTAAGGTGCTTTGCAAACAGTATTACTCAAGTGTTTCCAATGGGAGAAGAGATAGTAGATCTACTTCCCCAACTGATACCTCAAGCCAGATGTTTGAGTTGCATGCTATTCTGCAAAGCACTGAACTACCTACCATTCACGTACAAGTGCCTCCACTATAGAACAGGGAACACGCTTAATAATCACATTTGGCAGGCTCAATTAACATTTGTAAACCCTTTTAATGTGCTACTAAGACAATGGTTCTTCTATGCTTCTCTGATAGACCTAATGATGGTATTGCAATCTCTAATGGTAATTGTTCTCATAAAGTCTCCTGTCCTTTCCCTACACTTAGAACACAGTTATTCACAGAAGCAACTGGCCTGTATTTACATTCAAACTCAAGAGAAATTTATTCTTCGAATAAGAAGTGAAAACAGACAACCTACGTGCAAAGCTCCAGTGCATCACAGTCCAATACAAGGATGCAGGTGACACATTAATTTCTCTTCCCTCCCAAAGCAACTGTTAGCAGTATAACATGAAGAGGACTCTCATCATGTTCAAATCCTTGAACTGCATTTTCTCTTAAGATCTGAACATGGAGAGAAATAACCCCAGATACCTTTACACGCTGGGAGACAACAATCAGAAAAGCAGCTTTGCAGAAAAGAACCTCAAGATCCAGTGTCAGGACCTAAGGGAACGGCCTGAAGTTGTGTCAGGGGAGGTTTAGGTCAGATATTAGAAGTTGTATCAGGGGAGGTCTTTTTGTTGGCCACTAGTCTTCAGACATTTTAGACATTAACACCAAAAATTTGACTTACTCTAGCGAGTCATATTCTTGCTGGAGTATTCACATATCTTATTGGATGAGACACAAGTGTACATTCATCCCACTGTACAAAATGTTGTCACAGTGCCTTTGCTACAGTCAAAGCACATCAGAATAGGCTTGGTAGCCCTTGCAAGATTTCAAACATATCTTCGCTGAACAAGATAAAATTACTTCAGACCACACAAGATTGTTGTCATCTATATTAAGAAGTTAAGTTTGCTTCAGATCATTTCAAGCTGTAAAACATAGTGTGTAACTCATGGCAATCTCTCTGACAGTGGTTATACAGTTTCATGAGTCAAAACAAAGGACTGACATCAGCAAAAGAATTTTATCTGCTGGCAGCACTCAAACCAAGGTTTGAATACACACATACAGAGGTTTATGATCAAAGAATAATCCAAGTCATGATTTATTGTTGGCTCTTAGCCTACAAGGTCAAAAATTAGAAGTTATTTATTCTGTGGCCTGTGGGTAAATACAGAAGTAACAGTAAATTACTTTTGTATCAATGAAAAACACTCAAATTCTTGATAGCAAACAACCAGTCTCAGAGTTAAGTTACACTTGAAAATGGGAAAACAAAGACCTTCTTCCTTTTGTTTTTCCAGCTCTATGAATACACCTCAATGTTTCCCTTAGGTGTACCTTTCTAGGTTTAATTATGTAAATAGGTGAATTTGAAAAAACAAACAAAAAAAACAAACAAAAGAAAGCTGTTAAGTTCTCACAAGCTTAACTTTGAATATCCTACTTTTCTAAGAAAAATACTAGAAATAATTTTTGTAGTTAAATCTGTAATACCCCTTTAATTCCGACCCTTTGAAATATAAAAAAAAAATCTTTACTGATAGACTGGCTTTAGATAGTACTGTCTTTAGACTGTACAGTGTCTTTATACTGTGAGTTAGACATGGAGCCTGAAGCCACAGACAAATTCTTTTTTTTCTAGGTAAATACTTCTGATATTACTAATATAATACTTCTGGGAATATTTCTGCAGTAATGGTCTCTTTTCTCCACAAATTAAACAAAGTTACAGACCATGTAGCTCTAAACCGCAAGCTGTAGATGTCATATGTGAACAGTATGCCCCGTTTAGTGAAAAAAACTTAAAAAATGCAAACGTTCACAGCAATTGTATTCACTACTAGCCATAACATTACAGGAGAAAATTAGCCTATTCAGAACTAAATTTGAATGGAGAGCAAACCCTTGAGCGAGGCCATCTGCGTTTGGTTCTTACCCTCCAAAATATCTTCATAAAGTGCATGTACTCCTTCTGGCACAATGACAGCCAAGGCAGTCCCACATAGCAGCCCAGCACCCAGAACAGTCACCAACTTCAACCTCTCCTGCAAGCAAGTACAAAACAAGTATCATCTTTAGGAATAAAAAATGCTTGCTTTACTCTCCCTTATTAACAGAGGTTAGGACAGAGGGTTACTTGTTACATTAGTATTGACAATTTGCAATTAAACTTTAACAACAATACATAAAAATGGTTTTATAGTATAGCAAAGAATAACAGTTTAACTCATATTTTGGGAAGAATATCTACAAGATTAAAAAACAGACATAGTTTATCAATACTTGTACTATTACTTAGGGTTATCTTCCTAGTTATATTCTAATTTGGGGCAAAAAGCTTAGAGACTTATCACTCCTCCCAAACTCACTATATTATGTTTTACCAATAAAATTACCAATTCATTTCCTCGTGACAGGCTTAAGTCAAAGCCATATACTAAAATCCAATTACATGAACATCTAATAGACTCTAAAATACAACAGTTTGCAGAGGCCACTTCTCACAATTTCTGTAAGAGCTCCCCTCGTATCACACGGAGCAATCACGGGAGTCTAGGTCCTCATAACAACCATGTAGCACACATTTTGTGGCACAGCCATCATCATCATCTCCCATGCTCAATGCTACCAAAATACAAACTTTAACTACTGAGGACCTGGACACAGAAGTCAGTGTCTGATTAATGGGAAACCACTTGCCACATACCCTTCTTGTGCCATCCATCCTCCTTCGTGCACCATAATGACACAAATTGTTCAGTCTCACCAAAATAGGCAACACTTGCACAGAAGAAGTAGGAGGCTCTAGAGAGATGCACAGCTAACTTTCTGAAAGCAAGCCAAATGTGGCCATAAGGAAACAACTGGAGCATTACTGGGGAAAATTCAAATAGTAATATGCAAGAGATGAAAACACCTGTAAAGTTTCTGCAAACGTGCACCTTATAGTGCCATATATAATAACTATACTTGGTGAATTGTTATACAATGGCAATCTACGTTAAAAGATAGCCTTCAACATCCACTTTTCATAATCATTATGCAAAAACATAGTATCTTACAAGGGAAAAAAATTATTTTTACCTGCAACACTATAGCATTTTTTGCATACATACATAAAAAAGGGAAAAAGTGTCAAAAGTAATACTGATTTATTACAACTGCAAATACAGAGTACTGCTTGCTTTCCCTTGGGCATCTGTGAATTTTGAATATCCATGAAAATAATACACACTAACAAGCTAGTGTTTCAAGATAAAACTCCATCTCCTTTTCAGTACAAAATATTTAGATGTGGCAAATACAGAAATTTAATAACAGCTTACACAGATAAGCAAAAGTAATATAGTTTTATCCAAGAAATCAAACAATTTCAGTGAAACACACTTGTGTGTCTCTTGTTAAAAAACAAGAGCATCACAGTAAACAGTGCTAAAAATCCATGGGAAAAATCTTAAATTCCTCAAATTAGCAAGCTGTTTCTCGCTCAGTATTTATTTTACATCTACATGGCACTGAAACTTTTACTGGAACATATAAAAAAACTCATACCTACTTTCACAGACAACACTGCTAGCCTCTGTTATATCACCAAAACATTCAAACTGCTACAACTCTTTTCTTTTAAACTTTTGCGTTTAGACTAAAACTTAAGAAATAGCCTCAAGAACTGGTACAGTGTTGTTTCTAGCCCTAAATTAGACCAACGGAGTTCTGTAAATTAGGATTAAGCTGAAAGGGTACATCTGCACACAGAAATAAGGCGAAGCTCAGTACAGTTTGTACCTTTTTACCACCAATGTTTAGTCATACCTGGCTTTGCCAGAGTTTTATACTTTCAAAGATATCCTAATCTAATTACAATAATAGAAAATAGCATGAAATCAGAACACAAGTAATAGGTTCCATGGCAAAAAACTCATCTGAAGGAATGTAATAACACTAATGAATAATTTCACTGTTCTCCAGCATCTGGGGTATATTATGTATAGCATTCACTTTTGTTTTCAACTCAAATATTATAAATTATAAATTATAAAGTGGGAAGGGGTATTTTAACTCACTTGGGCTTTTTGCAAACTATAGAACGCATAGTCCAACCAGTCATTTCAGTTTGAAATTGTCTTTGTTGCAGAATCCTAAGCAATCACTTTTAACAAAACCATTCTAACTTCTAATTAGACACTTCAAGGATTAGCTAGGATTTGTATATAATTTGCAGAGAGATTCTGCTCCTCTTTTAAACCAGCACTGCATGCAAACCCTTAAGATACCCAATTTAAATCAAGAGTAAAACTGAGTCAAGAATTTCTCAGAACTTAAGATACTACAATAAACTTGACTGCACACATGTGCATTGATGGTAAAATACCACACACACAAAAGGCTAATAAGTACATGATTACTGCTTACGGAGAATTTTGGACCCACAACAGATCTGTATTCCTGCACTGCTGGAAGCCTTGAGAGATTTAGGAGACCGCTGATTCAATGATATAAATAAATCACATAAAGACATATCAAGAACCCTATCTTCAAACAACACTGAATATAAAGTCAGAGAAAACAGATGACTATTGAACATATACAAGACAAAATGCAAAATTAAATAAAAAAAAGAGACATTATTAGCATGCAAGGCAGTGCTCTCAGCAAATTCACAAGAAAACCCTTCACGGGCTTCAGCGCAGAAGTGACTTTTGAAGAGTGACACCCAGGAAGCAACAACACTGAAGACACATAAGGGAAGGTCCATCAAAGCACCAGACGAAGCACTGGCAAAACACAACTCTGCAAATATTTATGTGAAGACTTCAGAATACATTGTTAGGTTTCAATTCATTTAGCTGACTTGTACTGTTCTTGAAATGAACAGCCTTTCCTTCCACGCTGCTCAGAGTCTACCGCTTCCAAAGCCTCCTAGAAATAATGGGACCAAAGGACAGGTGCAACCCACCCTCTGACTCGATGGAAGAAAAAGTAACATCTCTTCCAGCATCTTGTTTCCCAAAAGCAGCGCTGCTTCCAGGAGAAACAGGAAACCTCTCATAAGAGCACTCTTACTACCTTAGAACAACTAAACTCTCACCACACCATAGCTCTATACAACAACCATCACTGAGAAAGAGAAAAAACCCTTGGGCACCAGAGGATATTAGGAGACTTCCAGAGACTGTAACAATCGTCATCACCTCAATGACCAAATATGCTTAATGATAAAATCCCGTGAGAACTCACCCAATCTATGAAAGTCTCCCTCTCCCTCAACAGTACCTTATTTATCCAAGATTTTTTTTTTCCAAAAGAATGCTTTGAGTTACCCGGGGCAGTATCTTGAACTTGTATTGTGATCAAAAAGCTAAGATTTAATTTTCAGCATTGCAAGCTGTGAACAAAATTGTCAGTCAAAGTTTTCTGATAACATTCTTGGAATCGTTTTTGAAAGCCTTAATTTGAGTAGCCCATAGGCACATAAGAAGAGATAATCTCTGACTTCAGCAGTTTCTTACACAAGCTTCTAATTCTAAGAATAGCCAAGTCCAGCTCCTATTCATGTCCTTCCATGCTGAGACTGTGCTTCACCTGTAGCAGAGATGCTCGACTCGAATTTGGCATGTTTAAATGGCTTCTATACACACTGTGAAACCAGCATAATTTTACACAGCAACTTTGAATGAAAAATATAATGGCACTCAGAACTTCCTTAAAAACCTTTTAAGGTTACAGCATTGCCCCTAACAGCGTTGCCGGACTTCCAAAGGGACAGCGCTAACTCCTACTGGGAGATTTCCCCATCTAGTTTCTCCCTTAGCAACCAACGAGCAGTTCGGCGGAGCTGTCTTACCTCGGAAAAATTAACTGCCAAGGGGATAATTCCTGCCACATAGCAGGCAACCAGCATGGCCAGGGACAGCAGGCAGATGGAGGGGAAGTCATCCATTTCGGCGCTTTCTGTGCGGTCCCTTGAAGTGAAATTCAACAGCAACTTTTCCACCTCGCCCGGCCGCACGCCTTAGCCCGTGCTGACACCGAGCTCCCAGGAGAGGCTCTTAGCCATGTCTCTGTCGCCCGGTGGCTCCGGCCGGCTGTGCCCCCAGCCGAGGGGGCGCGGGGAGACCCGCCAAGGCCGGGGGTCGGGAGGGGCTCTGCTCCCGGCGGGCAGGTCCGGCCCTCACCTGAGCCAGTGGAACCCTCCCCCGCACCGCGCCGCTCCCAGGGGAGGCGGGGGGGGACAGCGAGCACCCAAGCGGCTCCTCACAGCGGGGACGAGGAGACGCTGCGGGACCGACGCTCCTGCCCCGCACCCGCTGCCCGAGTGGCACGTCCGAACTTCCCCTTCCGGGCCGGGCCGCGCCTCGCCCAGCCCCGCGCGCTTCCCGGCCCCAAGATGGCGGGCGAGGCCGCGGGCTGGCGGGGAGAACCCTAACCCTCACCAAAGATGGCCGCGGGTCCCGCCCCGCCCCCGCCGCTCCGGGGAGGCTCCCCGCCGGCCCTGTGGGCGCGTGCGCGCGCGCGCGAGCGGCGCTCTGGCGCGGGCGGCTCTATGGTGACGGCCGTTGGCGCGGCGGCGCTTCCGGCGGGCGCGGGGGCCTGTGGGGGATCGCCGCGCGCCACTTCTGCCTGGCGGTGCTGAGGGAGCGGAGCAGCCATGGTGAGAGCGGGACGGGATCCGCCGGGCGGGACGGGACCCACCGCGCCCGCATGAGCTGCACTCCCTTCCCTTCCTCTCCCTTCCCTTTCCTTCCCACGGGTGGCCGCAGCTGGAAAGGCTGCGGCCGGCGGTGCGGGCCCGGGCGGGCGGCAGCACGTTTTGGCGGGGCAGGGCCGGGCGAGGCGGGGGCACAAAGGCGGCAGAGGCGCTCGTGGAGGGGCGGACTGGGGGCTCCCGCCTCCCTCCGGCAGCTCAGGCCCCTTTCTCAGGGCGCTGCTGGAAGCGCGTCTCTTTCCTTCGAGTCTCGCTCGTCGAGCGAGTCTGCCTCAAATGGCTGATTGGCGCTTTCCATGCTGTTGTCCCTGCTCCTCCCCTCCGGTCGGAGAAGGGAAAGGCGGGAGCGTGCGTTGGTGGGCTGTGGGAATGGCACGCTGAAGCTCGAAGGCCTCCCTTCGTGGTTTGTTGCCTTCACCTAATGAATTAGGATACGCTGCAGCAAGTTGTTGCCTCACGGGGGGAGGAAGCTGCTTCTGGGTCTGCAGCGAAGCTCCACATCTGCCTGGCACTTGATCGAAGCAGTTGGCTTCGGCCAGGATGAGCAGCTACAAGCTCTGTCTGTGTTGTCCAGAGTGAAGGGTGACCCTTAGACCACTTTTTCTGCCTAGCAGAGGGAACTAAAAGGCGTTTCGGTGTCTGCAGTGAGCTACTCTAGTTGTATCGCTGCACATCTTACCCTTGCAATCCCTGTTTATCTTCCTTTTTTATTGTTTTGGAGCCTTTTTTTTTTGGTTTATTGTCGAATAGACTACAATTGGTGGAAGCCTCTTTGCACACATGCTGCCTAGCTTTTAAGTCCTTCTGGTTTGGCTGTCAGCCCTGTCTTAACCAATTTTACAGGGTTCTGCCTTGAGTAACAAGAGCAATTAGTAAAGTTCTCTCTAGAAGTTCAGAATTGGTATAATATAAACATATGGTGTCTCATTACATGTCCTTCTTAACAGCCAGTCCGCCTATGCTTTTAAAGAAAATGCAGGGAAATCCAGCCTTATAATAATAAGGGTCCATATTGGGCTTTTTCAGATAACCTGGTGCTAATGCAAAAAGGTTTATGGATCTTCCCTTGTTTTGGTTTTGTGTCACCTAGGCAAGTGGGGCATGTAATAATAGTCAGAGGAAACTTCCAGCAGGCTTCTGAACTTGTCATTTTTTGTGCTTACGTGGTAGGGCCGGACCAGCAATTTTATCAAATCAAACAATTTCTTTTCTTTTCCCCTTAAGGTAAAATAACATGAAGATCCCCCAAAAATGCATGAAAAGCATTAATTCTACAATACAGATGGTCCCAATGATATTAATTTTAATATTTTCCAGGCCACTATCTGATATGGATATTGTATAGTGTCTGAAGTGATAAACAGCTTAAAGTCAGAAGCCCAAATAATTTCTACTGTGAAGTTCTGAAAGAACTGGCTTAAATGTCTGGCTCGCTGATTTTTTAATTTTTTTCGATCTAACAATTTGGATAATTTCAGAATATATGCATTAATTTTATGCTCCTCAGTGACCAGCTAATTAAAACAATAGTGCTGCAAAAATTGCTTGGACTCCCTGGCAAGACAAGCCTGTTCAAGTACAGTGCACTAGGAACAGCCAAATACCAGCCCCCTTGGGGAATTCCTGTCAAATCTAGCGTCCTCTGGCATACATGAGAGTGGACTTAAATGATGTAGTCTCCTTTGTATGATTCTTATTGTTACAGTGTGTAGCTCTCAATTCCCCTCTTTTGCCACTTCTGACTGGGAGAAGTCTTACTGCTTCTTTTACTCCGTGTAACTTTTTCCTGGACTTCTCGGACTCTGCAACTGCTGTGTTATTTGAGACAGAATTTAAAGAACTGAAAATTGTTTATTCCAAGCATGGGAACACTGTCAGTCATGGGACAAGAATTTGTCCTGTTTTCTTCCTATACGTTTCTTGTAAATCCTAATATTTGCTATTTCTACTTTCTGTCATGGCATTTGATGAACACTGAACTGGTGTCTTCACTGATGCCCAAAGTATGGTTCAGGATTTTTCTGTCAGCAGCTGATTAATTTAAGCCAAATAATATGTCTTACTCTGCAGTTGCCTCTTAGTTGTGTGCTCACCTCTTATATTAGCACTGAAAATGTTGGATCCAATTAGCAGCACTGGAAATGGCCATTTTTGCAGCATGCTTGCAAACTTTCTGTGCTGTGCACCCTCTTAATTAGATCACAGATTGTGTACATTTGAAAAATTTTTGCTCGCTCTTTGCTCAAATTACTTGCAGTAGCGAAGTGAAAAATGTTATGGAAATAATGGAAGCTACAGAGTGTACAATCATCTAAGTCTTCCCTGCAGAAGAACAAGCTTATGGACTCCAACATTTACAACAGTTTTCTGTGCCATAATTACTGTTTCAGTAAACTCATTGAAGTGTGAAAAACCAGTACATCTGTTTTGCAGGAAATAATCTTGAATACTAAGTGCAGATTTGTTATTATTTGTGTTCCCTTGAAATTAAATGAATAACTCAAAATAGCTATTGCTGATAAAATCTTAAAGGTGAGATTGACAATGTGATTAAGTTGGATCCCCTCCTTGCACTTTAATTGGGGCATTTGAAATCTTACTAACAGCTTGCACTTGAAATAAAATAAGTAAATGCACTAATGCCGTAGCTTTTATACATTGACTTTATTGCTTTGCTTTTGTGTTTAGATAGAAACTACTGTTTCTGTGGTATCTTTTTTCAACACAGTAGCTGCTTTACTGGTGATTTTACACATTTTAAAATTCTATAAGGATTGATAGGACTGATTGGAAACAAAAGTTAACACAGCTTATATGAATAGTAAATGCTATTTGGAAAATGTGTCCTTGATTGCTAGTTGACTATTTTAATATTATGCTGCTTTTTGTTTCCTTCAGATAAATTACTTAAACACAAATCATTCAAATTGTGCAAGTAACCTGTTTTCTTGATGTTTGTTTTGTTTTCCAGTCTCACACAATTCTACTTGTCCAGCCTACCAAGAGGCCAGAAGGCAGAACATACGCTGATTATGAATCGGTGAATGAGTGCATGGAAGGTGGGTGAAGACATGGGGTTTTAAACACCATTTTTTAACTACCATTTTTGACATACTGTCAAACTTAGTAAGAAAATAAATTGCTCTTCATGTTTTTCAAAGGTAATTCACAGAAAAAATTGAAAAAGTGTCTCATGCTTTTAGTTTGCTAATGTTCTAAAACTTTGTTCCTAAAACTTTCTTTTAATATTAAATACTTGGTTTTGATTTAACTAGATGAAGCCACATTCAGTTTGTAAGAGTATGCAATATTCTTGGCGGGGCCATGCAGCAGACTTGCTTCAGTTCATTTTTTTGCAGGATCAGCACCTAATTCTCACTAATCTTTGCGGTAGCACTGTAAAGGAAAGATTACTACTGGATATAATATATTAAATAAAAGATTATATGCATTTGATACATAACTTGCAGCCTCTTGGTGTATGTGCCAGAGTAAAGATCCTGTGAGACTTTGAGTTACCTAATGAGCTTGGAAAGAAGATTGACGTACTAGAGCTGTAGTTCACTTAACATTAGTGTTCCAGGAAGTTTTGCGAGGCAAACAAAGGCATAATAAAGACCTTGTAGAGCCTCTATGCTCACTTTAATATTACATTCTTCTCAAATATATCTGAACTATTTATGGGCTATCTTAAATAAATAAAACTGATTTAAATTAATTAAACTATTTAGGCTTGTGCTGTCACTCTTACCTCAGTAGCCCTGTTTCACTCTGTGATCGGTAATGATCATTCTTATGAGTTCTTCTATTTCTCAGGTGTTTTGTACAGTAGAAATATATGTTGTAATTACTGTCTTAAAATTATTAGAAGGAGTTCTAGGTGTCCGTTGGAGCTTACTGCATGGAAAGGTATATATTTGACAGAGCTAAAACTTTTTCCTCTACGTGACGAAAACTCTTCTTTCCATGCATCTTACCTGATTTTATAGTATTATGTTTCAATGCAAATAGCTAGAACAAAAGAATTTCAACTCTGCAAAATCTTGACTGTGTCTCTGTTTTTATGGTAGTCATCTCTAAACTTTCCTTATATTTGTGGATCAATAGCTGAAGAAATTTCAGCAAATACAGTTTTTAACATTGCATTGTTAATCTTGTTTCTCTGTAGGAGTCTGTAAAATGTATGAAGAGCATCTGAAGAGAATGAATCCCAACAGTCCATCCATTACATACGATATCAGCCAATTGTTTGACTTCATTGATGACTTGGCAGACCTCAGCTGTCTTGTGTAAGTTGAGTTGTACAAATCCATTTCACTGACTCAGGGAAGTCACAAGTCTTCCCTCTAAACTCTTACGTTTTATTTGAGTGTTTTTTGCAATAACTGTAGTGTTGCAGTATTGTAGCTGCCATAACATGTTGCTCGCTCCAATTATCTACATTGAAATCTCTAAGGAAGGCTTAGAAAATGACAATTCCAGTTGGATTTTAGTCACATTGAAGCTTACAGCATTTCAGATACTGAAATCCAACAGTTTAATACAGCTAATTATTTTATTACTGCTAGAATCTGTTTAAATTGGGGCTGTATGTGCCTTTGTGCTGTTGGTCCGATTCCTAAGGAGGCAGAATAGTTACAGAACTTTTTCCAGCTGAGA